CCACCACTGTACCATAAAAAGTTCGTGGCGGTCTCACCCCCATAAAAAGTTATGGGGGTTCAAAGTTAATAAATATGCCAATTTTTATACATTTCTAGGCATGTAAATATTTATATAGCCATTCTTAAACAATATTCAAAGGTAAAACTAATGGAAAATACATAAAAATATTGAGAAAGTAAAGAAAAAATAAAACATTATTTAAATATCTTTATCAATAGGGTAGGTTAGGTTAGGTTATTGGGTTTTGTTCAAGTGACCACCCTCTTTCGATCCCCCACCTCCACCCGCTTGAAAATATTTTTTTTATTGAATTTTAGTTGAATTTAGTGTATGAAAATTGTCAAAATAATCAATTTTAAACCCCTATAACTTTTCATGGGGGTGAGACCGCTGCAAATTTTTTATGAGGTTTTACTCAGGTGACCGCCCTGTTTCGATCTCCCCTACCCTCGTTTGATCCCCCTACCTCCACCCCCATTTAACCCGCATAACTTTTTATGTGGATGAGACCGTCACGAACTTTTTATGGTGCAGTGGTGGGGGAGACCTCCTCTTTCGATACCACCCACCCCCACCTCCTTCGGGGGTGGGGGCCATCATCTAGACATTTACCTTATTTTATTTCCACTCTCTCCCCTCTCTCTTCTCGCTCTCGTTAGGTACTGATGTCAACTCATAATTAATTGCATGGCGTTTCACCAATATGCGACAAAAGAAGTCTCATTGTTTATGTATTTAGGGTTTTATGAAAAATGAATGTCATGTCGTTAATTTCTTTTATAGGGTGGATCTGTGACATCACAGGTAACTATGATTTGTCGTTTTATTTAGCTGGTTTCTTCATTATTGTGTCTGGCATTTCGTTGGTTGTTTTTCCTGCACTTAAACGGTACAGAAAGTTTCACAATTTGCAACGCAACGTTTCCGAACAAGAAGAAGACGCAGTTAAGGGACAATCTGCTGCTGCTCCGTCTGAGCCCAGATTTCACAAAATCCTGCTCGCCTGTATAACCGGGAGCGTTTCAAAAACACAACAACGACCGGAAGAAAACAGCGTTTAATAAATAAAAAATATATTTGCGTGATTTTCAGTATTTGAATAATAATTATGTAGTACATAGTTAATGTTCACGTAGCAATAGATTAGTGAAAATTTTTAATCACCAACTAATACATACATACATACATACATACATACATACATATATACATATTTATATCGCTTGAATAAATCTTAGCCCGTTTTAACAGGAAAAGTTTTGGGATTTGTTAACATTTAACTATGCTCGTGCACAATTACGCGATTTCGATTGATAAAATCAGTAGTGGTTACTAATCAATGCGGTATCTTCGTCTTGTAGTGACAAACAGTTCATAGGCGTCACAGTAAAGTTTAAAAAAGGTCCGATGTTAATTTCATATTTAACTAAAACATGCTAAATTCACACTATATATATATATACATGTAAAGTTCTGTCGGTATTTCTTTGATCGAACAATAAAATAACACATTCGTCGCCATAGCAACACGGAATTGAAAATGGCCAATAAGAAACTGTGCTTTCAACACTCGTGTTTGTTGCCATAGAAACGGGAGCTAATGCAGCCAATAGAGGCCGAGTATAATTTCGAACACTAAAAGGACACTGTTGACACTCATATTGTTAATTAATATGAAGAAAAATGTGCTTAAGATAAAACCACCTGTTAGTACTTTGTTGCAAATTATATTTCAGTTCATATTTAAAAATTTAGAGCATGAACGAATTGCCTCCTAGGCTGTAGGTTTCTTTATATCCGAAAACATTGAGTTTTTTTAATTAATTATTATTATTAAATTAATATCTTCATTGTAAATACGTGAAAACATCTTCACATTGATTGTGTAGCATTAAAATGTCTTGTTTTTATTCTTTCATTTTTTTTTATCAAAATGTTTAG